TGTGATTCTCACAGACGTGAGTCCCACAATCCGTGCAGAAATACATGGAGACCTCCAGAGCATTCTTGCGACATGCCCAGCACTTCATTTTCAAGAACTGACAATTGCAACAGTCCCCGTCGTCACCGCGGCAAAGCCCGCAGAACTCACGACTGCATGTCACACACGAGAATTCAGCATTTGGGTGCTTACGGTCGTTGGGATCATCGAGGGCACAAATCTTTGGCGCGTCTGGGCCATCACCGCCGGGAGCCCCTCTTGCAGCCGGCGCTGAGGCCTGTCCACGATCCGAAGGAGCTCCAGCAGTCCCTCGCCTATCGCCGGGACTCCGGGTGTCGCTGGCTCTACTCCCAGGAGTCCTCCACTCATCGCCAGGACTCTGGATGTCGGCATGGACCCTATTATCCCCAGCACCTCCTGAATGACGACCTGGGTTCGGAGAGACATTCCCGCTATCGCGGATTGGCCTATCAAAATTCGGAGAGACGCTCCCGCTATCGCGGATCGGCCTCTCCCCCCTCGGTTGTCGACTCCGGACCTCAGATCCCCTATCGGGGACGGCAGCAGGCCTCGGGCTCCTATTCCTACCCGCATCCCTATTTGGGGAAATAGAAACGTCCCCCCTTGCGCGCGCGCGGGGATCACCCCTTGCACGCTCCGGTGGCGAATGTGACCTGTCAGGCAACCCCCGAACCCTCCTGCTCCTGCTGTCGGACCTTTCCCTAACGGGATAGATGGGATGCCTGTCTGCGCGAGAAGGATCGACCCTATCGGGCACATTCGGCGAAACATGATCAGGTAAAACAGCGCCTCCGCCTGGTCTCACCGGACGGCCAGTACCCCGGCCGTCACCTTCCCCAGGTGTGGGCGTCGGAGACCTGATCCTATGTCCCTGCCCCGCAAACGCATTGTAACCAACATTCCGTCTATCTCTGGGTTGTTGAGGAGCCTCATTGATCTGCTGGACACCCTGAATCATGCCAGCGGCCTCATCAAATTGACCCTCCATTTCAAAGAGCTGAGCCATGATTCTGTTGTGCGCTGCGCCAAGATTACGCACGCTACTATCGATAGCACTGATCCTCCGCATAACACCTTCAAGTGTGCTCCGGAATGTGCCGAGCTCACGCCTAACGGCAGGCTGCACTTGGTCACTGCTGGCAGGAAGATTACGGATCTGTCCTTGAATGTTATCAACGACCCGATTCACAATTGCCGATCTCGCTTCATACTGTTCAACGTGTGACTTCACGGTCTCGAACCTAGAAATGACGTCGTCATGATCCCGACGTTGACGTTGAATTCCTCGAGCCAGATCCTGCATTTTCCGATTGACCTCGTCAATGGCCTCATGCCAGTCCTGTGGGGAACCACGTTCTGATGGTCTATCGACCTCCTGAGATCCCCTTCCACTCTGCAGCCTCGACACTCGATTAGCAAGACGGGCGTGCTCTTCATTGATCCCTTCAATAGATTCAGAGGCCCGCTTGGCAAATGTCTCGTGTTCGAGGAGAGCTTTCTCGATCTTCAGGTTTAACTCCCTGAAATTCGCGTTCACCACACTGCTACTGGCCCTATCGGACAGCTGCGCAACAGGATTCAAATTCAATTCACCTGCTGGTGTCCGAATCCCGACGGTTTTCTCTACCGAGAACATTCGTTTCTCGAGCTTTTCCAAGTCCTTAAGGGTCTCATCCTCGGAAGCAGCATGGCTCCTGCGGGCAGCCTCATTATTCTCCTGAATCATCAGGCGAAGCCGATCAGTCGATGCCTCATTGTCCCTGACAGATTCATGGACCTCGTGGGACAGTAGGTTAATCCTCTGCTCCACGACCTCGGCTTGCTCATCGATGGCTTGTCTCACAATGGCCTTGCTATCGGGAATAACTTCCCTTGCGAACCGTTGAACTATCATTCGCATCCTCCCGGCATCAGATTGAGTCGCAACCTCGGCTGCCAGGCGATCGACCTTGTCCTTCGTCCGTTGACTCTCGTCGCTCCATTCCCTTCGCACGGAACTCACCTGACCGTTCAGTACCCTGATTTGGTCAGCAAAGATGTGGAACGCCTTCGCGACTGAGCCAGAAACCTCACCTCTCTCGAGCATCTCTTGGATGTGCAAATCGAACACCTCCTTCGCCCTAGCGTCACCTGATTCGCCGGAAGACTGGGATCTAAGGGCGGGAGGAGTCGATATCTCGATCCTCTCAGGTGCCCCACTAGCCCCGGCATGTCTTCTGGGTTCATCCACGGGACGATCACCAACCCCAGATGGCCTAGCAGTAGAACCCCTTCTACGGCTATCGCCGGAACGGGGATCAGCATGGGACGCACGAGACTCGGGAGTAGAATGGATGTGAACATCAGCAGGATCAGGCATCTCCTCATCCTGCGGAGTTGAGTCCATTGGTGAGGGGCTAGCCCTCCTCGCCTTCGACCTATCGGTCTCAATGGCCAGGGGTGACGGCCTCTTCGCAGAAGCGCTACGTTCCCTGGCGGTCGAGCCCCATTGAGGTGTGAACTCGTTGCTGGACCTTAGCGTTTCAAGGTCACTGGTATCTCGCCCTAACGGGCTAGCGATCGACGGACGATCCTCGATTCCGAGTGCATCGGCAAGCCGACCATCTCTGGCACCTGTCCTAACGACATCGGCAGCCCGCTCAGTGACTCTCGGCGAACCAGTAACCCGGTTCGAGTTCACGTCTCTCTGATTCAACGGACCTCCAAAGTAATGTTGGGAAAAGGGGGAACATTCGGGGTATCACCAATCGCCGGGGGACCTACCGGTCCCTCACGGTCATGGATGGCCTCCAATCCCCGAAGAACTTCCCGACTGTCCCTGGCTCTCTCTCTCTCGCTTCGGGCATCCCTGTCAACGCGAAGGTCCCTGGCGGCTCCACGAGAGAGGCTCCTGGGCCTCGCAGCATCACGGATCCTAGCATTTCGTCGTGATTGGCCCTCCTCCTCATCACGGCGATCCGCAAATGCGGCATACTCCTCATCATCATCAGCCTCAAAATTGGCAGCGGCGGGACTAGTCCTTGCAGTCGCACGGCTGCCTGCATCTCGGCGTGAATGGCTCTCCTCCTCATCTGCAAAATTGTAACCTTCGCCATCATAAGACTCAGATTTGGCAGTATTAGGGTTGGGCCTACCGGCATCAGATCCCTGCTTTGAGCTACTGCCCCAACCTGCGGTTGATTTCAACAGATCATCGTATCCGAAGCCTGAGAACTTCCGCTCCTCGTGCTCATCAAACTGACCTGGATTCTGAGAACCAGTGGGTCGGCCCGGGATACCTCCCGGAACCAGAACCATAGTCCCTGGTCCCTGCGGCCTACTCTCAAACTCGTCTGAGACCTGCGACTCACCTGGAACAAGAGATCTCGGAGGTCGAATCGGCATGGCCTCCGGGTCATCCGAATGAGGGCGGGCCATGTCCATCGCCATGCTGATGAAGTCAAAATGTCCACGCCTGTGACCTGATTCAGAGCCACTCCTATCGGAGTAAACCCTTCGCTGCTGCTGCTCGTCATCAGTGGCCTGGCGGAAAATACGATCGTCTCCATCGTCGGCGTACCTGCCACGGCCCCTGGGTGCATCCCTACCGGGATCTTCACCCCTGCGGTCCTGACCTGTCGAACCTGCTTCGAAATCCTCGTAGTCATAGTCCGGTAGGTCCTCACCTGAGCGGAGGCCACCTAGGATGGCCTCCTCATCCACGACGCTCCTTCGAGATCGTGGGGTCGACATAGAGCTTGTAGTTGATGGTCTCAAGCGCGTAGGAAAGTCCTACGGCTGATAACCTGTGATTCGGGCACGAGCCTGTGCCCAGGCAATGGGTAAGTTGGGGTAAACAAGCCACAAAAGAAAGGTTCCCCAAAAGCAAACCAATCCCCGGTCCCAAAGATCAGGGTTTCCCACACACCAGAGAACAACAACCAAAAGGGAAATTAACCAAAGAAGAAAAGGATACCCGCAACCTAGATCGACGATGAACCGCACGGGCGATCCCCACCAACCTACCCCGGGCCGAAGTCTCTTTCTCCTCCGACACGAAGGCAGTCGACGTGAGGGCCCGGCGACGCTCATCCGAGGCGCGCCGGATCCAAAAACTTGAGCCAAAACACCACAGGTCGGTCACTAACGCGACGTCCCTGATGATGATATAAACCATGGCTAATCACATATAAGAAACCCACGCTGCATCGGGGGAAGAAAAAAAACAAAAAACTCCTCCCAGCTGGGCGCGGGCCTTAGGCCTTCTGGCTGGCTGTCCGAAAATTTCAGGAGTCGGAGCCCAAGGGGCCTGGTGTTTGTCCATTGGCTTGCCAAAAAACGACTCGCGAAGAGGCAGCCCGCGCTGGGTCTTTTAAAAAAGGGGAACTGCAAGACGTTTGTCGTGGTAAAGGCGACAAAAAGATCACATGTTTTTTGCATCCCATATCCCAGCTTGGTAAAAGCTGGCTTGCGCATGCGCTTTTGACCCAAGAACAGTAGGTGCAGCCCGAGGTGGGTTAAAAAAGAAGAAAGAAGCGAGCTAAGATGTTTGTTGTGGTAAAGGCGAAAAAAGATGTAGGTGAGGGGCTCCTTTTGAGCCCTGGACCACTGGAACCATTGGACAATTCAAGGTTGCCCTAGTTGTACGCGGGGAGGGTTCTGGTCAGCCGAAGGCTTCCTAATTCGGCCAAACAAGGCCTGGGTTGAAGCTGCGAACGAAATTGTTTCTTGGGTTTGATAACAAAATTAAAGGAAAACCGCCGTTGGGAAGCCAGTTGGAGATCTGACTTTTGAAAGGGCAACAAAGTAATTGCAAAGCCAAGGCCATGCATTGTCAAGAAAAACACCACGAAGGGTGCCAACTCCAAAAGAAGACAGACCCTCTTTCCAAGAATTGGGAACTGGAGCGGCCCTTTCCACAGGCATCCCAGGCTGGCTGAGGTGGGGTTGGGGCCAGACGGCTCGTGCTGGTGCTTCTTTCTTTGCATTTAAGCCCGTGCCTCATTTTTCTCCGCCTGGCCGGCAATGAGGCGTCGCAGCTGTTCCTGCTCGAACTTGGTGAACCCCTCAGATCGATGAGATCGATCGATCGCGGGCCGGCAGCCACTGGGTTGGTTGATTTGTTTGAGTTCGAACCCCCCACACCCAGAAATAAAATATAGAGAGTGGGTGTCTCAAAGGAAACCCAAACAAGGGTGGTTTTGTGGCTTTGTCCGTTTTTGATGGAAACCCCCCGCCCCCCACGCCAAGCAGAAAACACAGAAACCAAAATGATCGGCTTCCCTTTGGATTCCCTGTAAAGCAACAAGACACACGCAGGGTAGGATCTCGGATGCGTTCTGACACCGCGGGACTTTGTTTGCAAAGCACTTGTCGAGAAGCTCTCGCCCGAAGCCCAAAGCGGGCAGGCCAAAATTGACTGGATTCACTGCCCCACGAGCATGGCTTCATCTATTGTTCGAACCTTGAGACCCACCTCAAAACATTCACTTAGAGGGACACCGTCCACCACACGTCTCTGTTCCCCGCACTGCAGATCCAGCCGTTCACCCAAGTAAGCCTGCCCCCCCCCCCCCTTCCGGTTTTCCTCCAAATAAGGCTGGGAAACCAGAAACGCGGGGAAACCAGCGCAAGTCCCCCCAAGCAAACCAGATCTTTTGGGGTTGGATCTCCCAGTTTTCAGCCAAGATGCCATCGCATGCCCTCGGTTTGGACACAAAGCAACTACAAAAGCCGCATGAAAAAGGGGATGATCCTCGCGACACAAAATGGATGTCAAAACCTCATGATTCTGGAAAAGGTTTACCGGGTTCTAGGCAGGGATCTGGAAACATGAAGCAATTAAACAACTTGCTGGTCCTCAGCAAAACCTGCATCTCGCACCAATGAGTGCAGAAACCAGCGGAAAGTGGGCTGCAAAGCTCGATGGGGTTCATTCCTTTGCCATGCGTTTCAACCATCATTCGTGTCAAAAACATTCGCCGCAAAAACATTCGCCATCCTCTGCTGAAGGATCCCTGGAAAGATTTCAGCGGCCGGAGATGAGTTGGTTTCATGTTTCTGCGGGGTCTCAAGTGATGCATACTGCACACTCCTTGCGCTCTCTTACTTCATATTGGGGGCCTTTCTGGATGCTCAAGCCAAATGCAGGCCTAAACAACAGCTGCTGCCTTGGTTCCCAATCACCTTGATCGAATCCCATCTCTTAATTAGGCACTTCGCTTCTGCCCGAAAAGCCTGGGCCGTCGAAATTCCCGGAGCAATTTCAACTGGCCCAGTGCTCTCTCCGAAGCTGTTTGTCTGCTTTTGCCGCCTGTGGATTCCAACTTTAAAAAAGCGCAAAGGGCTGCTTGAGTGCAACAATTGGGTCAGAATCAAGACCTGGTGTTAAACTGGTCTACCCAGAACTTCATGCAAGAATTGAACAGGCGGACATCCGCGACCATTTATGGCAGAACAAAACCTGCAGTTCCCCGAATCGATTTTGAGGACGTGACTCAATTGGGTCTGCGTTCTTAGGCGAAGAGTACCCTTTTCTTGCTGGTGCTCAGCAGGGAATGTGGGAATGAACCGTTCGGGGATTCCCTGAAAGGAAGCCACCAGTTGGATTGTTTTTCTTTCGGTCATTCCAGCACTCTCATTCCCTGCCAAGAACGCGCCAGCAAGTTTTTGGGCTAAAGAACAGACTCCACGAGACTTGGCATCCTTCATCCGACCAGGTCGAGGGACTTTGGACTTGGCGTCAAAACGCGAAAATGGTCGGTTTTCGGACCCTTTTGGGGATGGTAAACGCAACAAGAACACTGGGGATCAATAACACACCAATGAAACAAAAACCGAAAGGGGAACGCAAGAACCCCCAAAACACACGGAAGCTACAAGAAGCCAATGAAAACCCAGGCCCTGTCCATCAAGCCAAGCGGCACGGCACGCTGGTTCTTGCCGCACGTTCTTGTGTTGCACCCCGTTCTTTCAGTCAGGCCGTGTGGGTCGATGCAAAGGTGCTAACAAAATGGAGAAACGAAAAAAGGCAGGCCCGTTGCAATCAATAGCCGAAGCCAAAAGCCGCGAGAAACCACTCGAAATTTGAAAGGGCCAGGAAAACCCGGCGCTCTTTGTGCAGACATGAATGGCACTTTTCGGGGGCTCCGAGGCTCCCCTACGGTCCGACCGAGCTACAGGCTGCGGTCGGGCGGTCGTGGAAACGGAGAAGCCGGAGAGTCTAAGAGGATGTGGGTGTGGGTCAAAATAGGGACTTGGACCCCCCATGATGATTCTCCAATTGATTTCCCTTAAGGTGAAAAGGGTACCGAGCCTCACCCATATAGCTACATTAATCAAAAAAGAAGTGAGTCATGTGCGTAATTAGGTTGCCTCTACAAAAGCTCCTACCTTGAAAAAGCTACCCGCTACCCGTGGGCGAAATGACTAGATTCCTGCTTTCGTCCATCGAGAACGAGACATATGCAACTCTGATCCCATGGTTTTCAGCGTACTCCTTTGGTTAAGCTTGCTTTAAGGGGGACCAAAATTGAAAGCCTGCCTCTACAAAAGCTCCTACCTTGAAAAAGCTACCCGCTACCCGTGGGCGAAATGACTAGATTCCTGCTTTCGTCCATCGAGAACGAGACATATGCAACTCTGATCCCGTGGTTTTCAGCGTACTCCTTTGGTCAAGCTTGCTTTAAGGGGGACCAAAATTGAAAGCCTGCACTTTGGGAGTCCCGAATTTTTTGGCACATGCCCATGTGCATTCTGGAAGCGCTGGAGCTCCCTCGTACGACATGCATCTGGATCTGACACACTCGGATAGCACAAAGACTTGCCCAAGGTTTGCACCAGTGACCTGCAGCCGGTGACCCTTTCACAGTCCACCATTTGTAGTGTGAAACAGGGACATGTTTGGGCTTGACAATTTGAGTGTCCTTTGTAGGGGGATCCCAAAAATTATGTGGTTTTCCTTTGAGTGTTCCTTTTGGTTTCCCTTTAAAGCCACCAACAAAATGGGTACCAACTGCAAAAAAGACACTCCCATTTTGGGAACCCAAACCAAACTGAGACAAAATACCCACCGAACGGGATCCGGGATGGGAGGGTCACGTCCTAAAGTTGATCAATTCACCGGAGAAGGATCCCCAGTTTTGGAGGGAAATGTCTCTTCCGAAACCGCCGCCATTTCTTCCGTCGCCCCTGCCTCCACCATCGCTTCCTCGAGCGAATGGGATGTCGCCGGATTCGTTTCAATGGGTCTGGAAACTGGGATTTGGCCCCAGCTTCTTTGGGTTTGCCTTTCATCAAGCAGCGTTGTCCTGGAGAAATTCCCGCAGCTGGTTTCCGGATAGGTGGTTTATCCCGGTATTCATATGTTGTCGTTCATCCCAGATTCGTGCATTTGGGGTGGTTTGCAGGTTCGGGGCGAGCTTCCTATCCACAACAGGAACCGCATCTCCAAACCAATCCAACCAATCAAGGGCACCCCCGCTCCAACCAACGATTTGTCTAAAAGTGGCAACCATCAGGTGATGGTTTGAGCTGTCTCTGTTGGAGTTGGTACGCAGGGAATTCACAAAAAATGGACACGCCCAAACATAGCTTGATGTCTTGCGCTCTGACCTGCCTCCAGGAACCCTGTTCACGCAACTCTCGCCGCTCACCCATGGCTGGACAATTTCCGGAACCCCAACCCCGGCATCAACGAAGCAGATGGGTGTGATACGCTTCTGCTACCTTTGCCGTTGCCAATCTGCGGGTGCCTTTGTGCAAAAAGCGCAGAGCACTCGTTCAGTGTTTCGAAACAAAAAAAGTGATGAGGCTCACGGAGGGTACCACAAAACCTGGAAACAGGCTTCTCTTTTCTTGGATCCTGCTCAGGTTAGTAAGGCGCGTCAGCCCACGGCCCATCGGTTTCCTGAGCGGATTGGAAAAAGTTACCAAGCGTCGCTTTTTGCCAACGGAGCATCTCCCGAAAGTTACTGGACAAAATCCACGCACCAGTTGGTACATTTGTGAGGCATCATCCATCTATGAGGTCCGAAACTTGGTAAGAGAGTTGACGACTGGTTCTGGGTTGTTCCAGTTGGTGGCTCATTGGGAGTCGAGTAACCCTCAAGTCGCATGTGCTGAAAGCCATGCCAAGCCCACCTCTTGAGCCGAAGATTGCACATTTTTCCCTAGCTTCTAACAGAGAGGGGAAGTGTTTTGAAAGGTTGTGTTTGTGCTGTTTGAGGTGCTGTTTGAGGTGCTGTTTGAGGTGCTGTTTGAGGTGCTGTTTGAGGTGCTGTTTGAGGTGCTGTTTGAGGTGCTGTTTGAGGTGCTGTTTGAGGTGCTGTTTGAGGTGCTGTTTGAGGTGCTGTTTGAGGTGCTGTGTGAGGTGCTGTTTGAGGTGCTGTTTGAGGTGCTGTTTGAGGTGCTGTTTGAGGTGCTGTTTGAGGTGCTGTTTGAGGTGCTGTTTGAGAGTGCTGTTTGAGGTGCTGTTTGAGGTGCTGTGGTGCTGTGTGAGGTGCTGTTTGAGAGTGCTGTTTGAGGTGCTGTTTGAGGTGCTGTTTGAGGTGCTGTTTGAGAGTGCTGTTTGAGGTGCTGTTTGAGGTGCTGTTTGAGGTGCTGTCTGAGGTGCTGTTTGAGGTGCTGTCTGAGGTGCTGTTTGAGGTGCTGTTTGAGGTGCTGGCGCGTTCTTGCGAGATTCACGGGAGGGTGCTCATGCAGTTTGGGCTGCAAGGCCGACTGCGCAGTGACGCCAGGCTCAAGCCGGAGTCCGCCCTCGGCCTCGCAAGGTGGGTCTCGACTCCCACCCGCTGCGATCAAAGCCGCTGATGAAAGCCGCTGAAAGGTCGCAGAGAACAAACCCAAAACCAGAACCAACACCCCAACACCACGGCCCCAGTAGCATTGATCCGAATGATCAAACCGAGATTCTGTACATTCCCGCGGGGATGCGCCGTAATTATTTGTGCAAATGCGTGATCTGCGAGTTACAGATTCGGCAAGAAAGAACATACGGCACGGTGCATTCAATTGGAGATGACCTAAAATAGCGGAGGCCGAGTTACAACTGTACAGTACTCCAGCCGGCAAGAAACAGAGCGGAGCTTTTCTTGCAGAGCAGTCGAGAGGCCGCATCTCAAGTTCGTTGTTTCTTTCGAGGCTGCACCGTGCCAGACCCACGCTTGCGGCCTCGCGACGCCTTGTCGGGCAAATTGGCAAAGCACAGATCAGCCGCGGCAAAATTGAACGCAAGGCCGCGAGTTAGCACCACATGTTCGCAACCGCCCCAGACACCAAACAAAAGGCAGGAGCACACACGGCCAAAGCCAGCATGACTGGAAACTGTGCCTCCACAAGCGATTGCTGGCAAGATGCGATGGCCTCGACGATGCTGCGCAGGAATGCGGGGTTGCTTCTCTGCTCCCGCAGCAGCTTATTGAGATCCACGCTGATGCGCTGAGCGAGGCAAAAGCACAAGGGCACGGACAGGCTTGCGGGATGCTGGTGATGCTGGGCATGCAGGCGATGCTGGGTGGCGATGCTGGTGATGCTCGGCTGTTGCCGATCTCAAATTGCGCGAGCTCGTGCGCACCTGCTTTCCTGCCCGCCCACTTGCCCGCCAGCTTGCCCGCCCGCTCGCCCTGCACGCAAGGCCGGGGCTCCCACCAACGCAGCCAAAGCTTCAACCCACAGTACGGCGAAGTGCAGCGGCTGCAGGCCGTGGACTCCATGACGGTCAGAAGCACAGAGGGCCGCGAGATCCTGCTAAAGCTGGCCCTGCCTGCCCCTCAGGGCAGCGGCAACGCCGCGGGCAAGGCGGGGCAGGCCCGCGCCGGTGAGGGAGCTGGACGACTTCCTGGGGCAGCCCTTGCACACCCTATCTTCTTCTGGTTTTTGATCATGAAAAACCACAGCCCTGCCCTGGGGCATCACCCGGTGGAATCCAGCACAATCAGCATGGCATGGCAGCTTAGCGGTCCTGGGCAGTTCACAGCAAGCTTTGCAACCTTCGCACCAAGCTTTGCATAAGCAATGTGGCCTAGGCTGCGGGGAATACTGGACCCAAAGCGCATGGTCCGTTCAGCATGACTGCTAACCAGAGATCAGCAAAATGAAGCCTCGTCGACTATGTTACTTCTAGCTCCCTCTTACACAGAACATGAAGCCTGAAATGATTCAGTGATGCCACTTTTTCCCCGCCAGCTCTGGGCTTGCTTGAAACGTCGTCTTGGCCAGGGGCACTACCAGCTGTGTCAAATCCGGCAGCAAGACCGGAGAGGTGACGTAGGAAAGGGGGCACCAGCTGCCGTATGTCGCTCAGCTGCAAACAACGAAATTGCAACTCGCCAAGCTCTGCAGTCTCCGAGGCAACAACTGCCAGCATGTCCGTGCCACATTCCTGTAAGTCCTGTGCTGCTTTCTTGAGTTTGTTGAGTTGCCTTCTTTTGGCCTTTCGATTGCTGAGCGTGTCGGACTTTACTTGAACCGCCACCAAAGCTTGCTTGTCCTTGCAGTATATGACAAAGTCGAGCGCCTGGCAACTCTGGGGGGCCATGATCAGCAAGAACAGCCGAGTCTGATTTCTGCCACGTGCCTGGGATTGCTTTACAACCTCCTTGTTAGAATCTTGATCACTGCTTCAATCCGAAAGGGAACATGCAGTCCAAGATAAAAGGGTGCGACCGACAAACATGTGCGCACGCTCTTTTTCTTTATAAGGCGTTGCTTGGAAGTTGAGGCTCAGAGCAGGGGGAAAGACATCGCGTGTCCTTTCCCCGTATCTGCACCCCTCTGCGGAGCCTCCTCATATGCCCCCGTGGTCAACAATGCGTGTTCGACCAGGCGCCAGGTGTGTTACCTGTGAGGCGTGAAACAATCGAAGGCATTGATGGCGGCAGGATGCAATGCGTGCATCCGGCTGGTGTGCAATGCGGCACACGGTGCCAGGTTGAGACCTGTCGAAACAGTCATATGGCTGCTGGATGCAATGCGTGCATCCGGCTTATGTGCAATGGGTGCCAGGCTGAGGCCT